GAGGAGGAGAACTCTGTTAAAGTAATCCCAAAGGTTATTAGAAGTTGTCAGAGAGGACAGGGTTGTGAGGAAATACTGTTATTTCTTCACATTCTATGCCGTATGTCAGCACAAGCTCCAAAGTATGAAGATGAGAATGTGTGGGACTATTCACATTTTGAACAAAGCCAATATTGTCTAAGATAGCATTAAAGGCTGCTCTTAAGCTATCGCTGTCATGATTCTTTCTAAGGCTCAGATCCACATGCAATGAAGACAAACAGAGAGACACAACATAAAAGTTCAACGGGTTTTATTGAAGGGTATATTGAGTTTGCAGTGTTGGGAAAGTTCTCTTTCTACGTGAACTAGTTCAGTTCATAGTTCATAATTCAAAATTTTGAACTAAGTTCACAGTTCCAAAAAATGAACTTCATAGTTCTTTTTATTTATATATATATATAAAAAACTGTTTTCTCACCCCTCGTGGGGTGGTATGTGTCATTCTCAAGCTCGGTCCTCTACCAGAGGCCTTGGAGTTTGAGGGTTCTGCGCAGTATCTTAGCTGTTCCTAGGACTGCGCTCTTCTGGACAGAGACCTCTGATGTTTTACCTGGGATCTGCTGTAGCCACTCTCCCAGTTTGGGGGTCACAGCCCCCAGTGCTCCAATTACCACTGGCACCACTGCTGCTCTTACTTTCCACATCTTTTCTAGCTCCTCTTTCAGCCCTTGGTATTTCTCAAGCTTCTCGTGTTCTTTCTTCTTGATGTCGCTGTCGCTTGGGATTGCCACATCTATCACTACTGCCTTCTTCTGCTGTTTGTCGATCAACACGATGTCTGGTTGGTTAGCCATCACCTGTTTGTCAGTCTGGATCTTGAAGTCCCATAGGATCTTAGCTCGGTCATTCTCAACTACCTTAGGAGGTGTCTTCCATTTTGACCTTGGGACTTCCAGCCCACACTCATGGCAGATGTTCCTGTACACTATGACAGCTACCTGGTTGTCGCGTTCCATGTATGCACTTCCTGCCTGCATTTTACACCCTGCTGTTATGTGCTGTATTGTTTCAGAGTCATCTTTGCACAGTCTGCATCGGGGGTCCTGCCTGCTGTGGTAGACCCTGGCCTCTATTGATCTTGTACTGAGTGCCTGTTCTTGTGCTGCCATGATTAGTGCCTCTGTGCTGTCCTTCAGTCCAGCCTTTTCCAGCCACTGGTAGGATTTTTTGATATCAGTCACTTCTTTTTGTCTGTGGTATATGCCGTGCAGCGGCTTGTCCCTCCATGATGGTTCTCCTTCCTCTTTCTTGTCCTCACTTTCGATTTTCTCCTGCCCGAGGTATTCACCAAGCCATTTCTCTTTGGGGGCCATCTTTCTGATGTACTCCTGGGTCTTAGTTGTTTCATTCTGGACAGTGGTCTTGACACTCACTAGCCCTCGGCCTCCCTCGCTACGCTTGGTATACAGTCTCAGGGTGCTGGATTTGGGGTGGAACCCTCCATGCATTGTGAGGAGCTTTCTTGTCTTTATGTTAGTGGCCTCTATCTCCTCCTTTGGCCATTTTATTATACCAGCGGGGTATCTGATGACTGGTAGGGCATATGTGTTGATGGCTTGTATCTTGTTTTTCCCATTAAGCTGACTTTTCAGGACCTGCCTTACTCTTTGTAGGTATTTAGCTGTGGCAGTCTTTCTTGCCATCTCCTCGTGGTTTCCGTTAGCCTGTGGCACCCCAAGATATTTGTAGCTGTCCTGCACATCTGTAATGTGGCCTTCTGGTAGTTCAACCCCCCTCGGTTCTGATCATCTTCCCTCTCTTTGAGACCATGATGTATATATATATATATATATATATATATATATATATATATATATATATATATATATATATATATATATATATATATATATATTGCTCAATTACACCATAGCCTACTGTAGAACCACAGACAGCAATTATTTTATCAGTTGGAACACTTTAACTGTGCATCAGATTTTATCTTCATATCCAGTTTTGAATCCTTATCCAACCAGGATTTACCATTGAGGGGACAGCATTCCCCCATTGCTGCTTTAACGCTTTGTTGCTGTCCATTCACTTCACACTAGTAGCAGCTGCAGCTTTCACCCCTACAGTATATTCTCAAAAACATCAGAAAAAATGTGCTGCTTGAATGGTCTTGTTTATGAGGAATTATTAAAAGAAAAACAGGAAAGTAGTCTTTAAGGTGCAAATGTTTTTTTTTATTTTAATAATTTTTTCCATTTGAAATTCCATTTCAATACATACTAAAAAGGAATACTGGAATCCTGGAAAATTATACCAGGCAGGTTTAAGTGCGGATTTTTTTACTGAAAGCCGGCGGGCAAAGTTTGCAGAGAAATGTAAGATTGTTGCCATCATCCTCACCAACCACCTGGTCATAAACCTGTTTTTAGTGATCATACTGCTGCTTTGTCGCCTCCACGGTCGCCTTCATGCTGCTGTGGCTTCCACGCTGCATTTTGTTTTGATGACGCACGCGGCTGTAGGCTACGACACTGGTAACTAGTGTTGCCAGATTGGGTGTTTTCCCCGCTACATATTAAGGCCTGTTTACGGTGTGATTACGGTGAGGTTTCGCCTGGAGGGCTCTAGAGAAATCTGGCAACCTATTGAACGAAGTTGAACTGAGAGAGCGTGCCGTTCACAGACACCAGAATGAACGAGTTCACAATAACGTTCATCAGGCAGTAATGCAGTACGTTCAGTTCACGTTCGCCCAAAATATGAACAAGTTCATGAACTTTCGTTCAAAGAACGCGTTCAGGCACAACACTGTGAGTTTGGCGCAGAGTTGCTCCAAAAAAAAGAAAAGGTTTTCTTGCTTTGAAATTTGGATCAGGGAAATTAAGGGTTAAATGTTCAAAAGAGTTGTAAGTATTAACTGCCTGGGGAGTAACCAGTAAGTCAAACTGAAAGATTGTTGCTACTCCTGTTCCTTGCCCAGAACTTCTGGGTATGTCAAAATTTAAACAGCTTAAAGGAGTTTCCTCATTTATTTAAGCAGCAAGAGGATTCTCTGAGCATAAAGGTTTCTCTAAGGCAACATAAATCAATATGATAATCAGAAATCAAGTCATTAACTAGCAGACTTTTAGAGGAAAGAGATCTTATGTTAAACAGACCACATTTAATCGTTTAAATTTTTTTCCCCAATTGGAGTTATTTTAATTTTAATTAAATTATCATGATTTACTCCTTTGGGAATATTTGCTAATTTATTAGATTTTGGTCGTGGGCAAGACACTGTTTTGATGAAGTAAAGAGTGGGTAACCGTAGAGAAGGTGCAGAGATGTGTGTTAAACTACAACAGTGCTTCCTGGTCTGCACCCTGGATGGTCAGGGTTTTGGAGGACTAATAAATGTGGCCAGATTCCTAGAAAGAAGAGCTGCACCATCCAAAGTGGGATGGATGCCGTTTCTCCAAATCAGACCAGGCTTTCCCCAAAAGGATAGCCAATTATTAATGTAGCCCACGTGTTTTTCAGGACACCACCTAGAGAACCAGTGGTTGAATGTCTACATGCGGCTAAAGTCATCACTGGTCAGATCAGGGAGGGGACCAGAGAAAATTACGGAGTCCGACATTGTTTTGGCAAACTTACACACCAAAGCAACACTAATTTTATTGACCTCCAATTGGGGTAACCGGGTGTCAGTACCGCCAGCGTGAAGGACAATATTACTGTATTCAACCTTATTCTTAGCCAGCAGTTTCAGGTAGGATTTGATATCTCCCGTTCTTGCCCCCGGGCAACATTTTACTATGGTCCCTGGTGTCTCTAATGCCACGTTTTTGACTATGGAGCTGCCAATCACCAGAGTGGGCTTCTCAGTGGGTGTGTCACTGAGTGGGGAAAACTGGTTAGAAACGTGAACGGGTTGGTGGTGACCAGTTGGCAGAGATCCACGACTACGCTTTCTGCGTACAGTTACCCAATCGCCTGGCTGCTCAGGCACTTTTGGAGGACAGCTACGTGGGGAGCCTACTTTAACTTCTGGATGTTCAACAGCCTGAAGCCTGGATTCTAACTCTGACACCCTCGCCTCCAAAGCTACAAAAATACTACACTTATTACACATCCCATTATCACGAAAGGAGGCAGAGGAATAACTGAACATCTGACACAGAGAGCAGGAGAGAGGAGAAGAAGAAGGAACAGTTGGAAGAGTCAAGGGAGGGAGAGAGAGAAGCCATTGCAATGCTAAGCTAGCACTAGCCTAGGCTAGCTACTCCTCACTAGCAGAAATAAAACCGTGTGATGCTGACAAGTTCTCAGAAGAAAAGTGCAGCAGAAGGCGTTATGTTTTAAAGTAGTTCTGGTCTGAGTTACTCAGATACAGAGATATCACAGAAGAAATAACTTCACTTCAGATGAAGATCGTCTGGACAGCTACAACCTTAGAAAAGATTTGCGGTCCAGAACTATGCCCTAGGCCTTGAAGGGTAAATATTATAAAATGAAATAGAAGTTCACCCAACTACGGTTTAGCCAAGAGCTCCTATAAGTTGCTTACTGGGGCTGACCTATCGTCAAGGTCAAAACCTGGGATGTGGTTCATTCAAAGCTGAATGAATTTAAATTTCCAGCAGCTTAAACTCTCCATACACTTACTTTACTTTTGTTATTATAATTCAGTTTCATTCAGTTTATATTTATAGTGCTAATTCCCAACATGTCATCTCAAGGCACTTTACAATTAAACCAGATAATACAGTCAAATTGATTAAATTTTTATTTATTTAAGGAAAACCAGTTGATTGCAACGAATCACTGACTCAAATGCAATCCCTCACACCAAGCATGCTTGTAGCGACAGTGGAGAGGAACAACTCCCCCTTAACAGGAAGAAACCTCCTACAGAACCAGGATCAGTGGGAGCTACTGATATTTAAGAAGAAATTGACAGTCTAGTTTTATTTTTTATCATCTGACAGAACTATAAACCTTTTTTGTTTTTTTCTACAGAAATGTCATCATACAGCGTCCTCACTTCATTACCAGAGGAACATTTCCGTTGTTCTATCTGTCTGGACTCTTCACAGAGCCAGTCACCACACCTTTTGATCAAAACCTCTGTAGGACCTGCCTCACTCAGCAATGGAGCAACAGCAAGTTTTATCAGTGTCCAAAATGTAAGTGAAATGTCAGTCCAAATAAAGAGAAGAAAAAGGGAGGCACTTGAAAGTGCCAACACACCGTGGCAGGTGATATGTGATGTGTGTACAGATGTAAAGTTCAAGGCCTCCAAATCGTGCCTTGTGTGTCTGACTTCATACTGCGATGGACACCTGGAGCCTCACCAGCTGGTCCCTGCCCTGATGAAACACAAGCTGGTGGACCCTATGGAGAACCTGGAGGAGAAGGTTTGTGAAAAGCATGCAAGGATCCTGGAGTTTTTCTGCAGAAAGGAACGAGTGTGTATCTGTCTGCTGTGCTGTGAAGCGGAACACAGAGACCATGAGACAGTTCCTGTTGAAGAGGAAGGGGAACTGCAGAAAGTGAGTCCTTAGATGTCGAACACTGTACTTAAAGTGCTGCCATGATGTATTTTCCCCTAGTGGATTTCTTGTTTTTTTTTTTACTTTTATATACTGTAATTATTAACCATGTAAGCATAATGTTATGAATATAAAATTCAAATAATTCCTTTCATGAACAAATGAGAGATTTATTATCATCTTTGTCTAATTAATAGAATTACTTTGATCTGAAAAACCGGTGGGTTATAACAAAACAAAAAAAAAAAGAAATCTCTAGGGGAGCAAATGCTTCCTTACTTTTTAAATATGGTATAACTGACAGCATAAATCAAAGAAATGGATCAACCTGTCATCTGAAGGCAGGACCATGGTACCCCTTTCTTCCTCTTCTTTTAATATGGTAACACAAAACACTGCCTAATTGTTGTCATGATTATAGATTATGATGTGTGAAATTTATATTCTATTTCTATTTTCACATAAATTATGTCTCAGTTGTAAAATGTTTTATTAGTTTTAAGTCAGAGTTACATGACTTGTTGAGTGAATTCCTTTTTTGTCTTGACAGAGGGGTCCAAGTTATGGAAGAAAAGTCATGACAGGATTCGTGTCATCAGTGGGAGTCAGGTCATCTGGATCGGGTCCTTTATCAGTTTCAAGTCAGAACCACACCTGGAGATGCTGCATTCAGCTTCTATGCTCCATATTTCTGAAAAGATTCAGATCAGCTGAAACACCATCTATTTGCATCCAGATTGAAGACCCACCTGTTCTCAGCTGCATTTAAATATTTTTATTTCAATGTTAGTGTTAGTAAGATTTCTTGTTTGGTGTTCAATTTTAAATCATGTTTTTATTGTTTTACTTTTTAATGCTTTCTTTTCTTCTGCATCATACTAATGCTTTGCTTGGTGTAAAGCACTTGAAATTGTGGACATTATAAATACTATACAAATAAAGCAGCCTTGCTAACTTTCCAAAAAAATTTGTCTTGTGTTTAAACAGAACCTGTGAGTGGAAAGAATTTGCCAGAGGTCAATAATGGGATAAACTACCCCCTTAAACAGACCCTAATCCACCTTCTGGGTCAGGGTTACTTGATATGCAGGATGACCTTAAAAAATTTAGTGTGTCCCCCTGGCCCGTCTATGAGTCAAATAGGACTTGGCAGAGTTGTGCAGTCCTGCAATGCCCATAGGATACCAGGTAAGTTGTGGCAATATTTGTATGTATATAATTTTATAACAGCTGACAGTTTTGTTCAGGAATGAAAAAAATCTTTAACAATTTTAGGCAGAGGGATCCTAAATCAACTTGCAGTTGCGAGATGGCCAGCAAGAATTCCAGTAGAGCAGTTGCCTGAAGCACCATAGATGTATGAACAGGAGCTGGGGTCCTCCCTGACTTGGGGATCTGCTTTTGGCTCTGACCCATTTTCAATAGACGGAGACTGATGCTGTGCTGAGCAGCTATTTGAAGAGAGGTTTCCAGACATTTCTCCTCTTTTTGGAGAAGTTGTTAACTAGACTACAGCGTGTTTCAGGAGGTGGTGTTACTTGATAAGTGTTACTGAAAGACACGTGAGATAAATCTAATGGCTAAATGGATATTAATAAATGAGAAGCTTGATAAAAACGGCATATTTTAATATCAAAAATACACGTGTAACAAATATAAAACCACATTTACTTGAAGTGACTGCTCTGAATTTCCTGAAGAACTGATACTTGTTTAAAAGTGTCAGGTTAACATGTTTTACTGAAAGCCTTTTTAACTTGTAATGTGGAAAAATGAAAAAAGTGCTTTACACTTAAATATTAGATGCTGAATTATAAAACGCAATTTCTTTAGAATTTATAAAACAACAAAAAAGTTAATATTGAACTGTATGAAAAAAAGAAAAACATTGGTTGTCACTGTAACGGACATACATTAAGGCAGCAACAACTTGTCCAGTGCAGGCAGGGCCTCAGAGAATCCAGTCAGCTCCAAGTCCACAGCATGACACTACAGGCAGCGGCAATTGTTCCACTCCACAATGCATGCCTCTCACCCGACCAGGCTGCTGCAGCAGGTTGCAAACATGGGCTCATCTACTGGACATGTAGATTGAAAGAGGGATAAAGAATTTTGTAAGTAGAGCATTGACAGATAGTTAATATGCAGGGATTGCCAGCACACAGAATACTTCTGTAGAAAATGTACGACAAAGAGAATAACAGAAAGGACAAAGTATGTTTTAGCAAGAAGTAAAACTTTTCTTTTATCACCTCAAAAAAGTTCATGTTGTGGTGCTACCTGAACTTTTGGCTGTGCTGGTTGGGCATTTGATCACCGTCCGATTGGGAAAATATGGCCTTGTTGTTGTCAAAGCCATGTTGTCCCAAGCCATTGCCCCCCTCAACTCCGACCTGCACTGTCGGTCACTTTACACCTGTTTTGCACTATTCCCCCCCACACACACAATGTGTGCCAGTACTGTTTACATTTCCTTTTTCTTTTAATATATTTATATGTTTTTTTAATTTTTCATTTTTTATTTGTATTTTTTTCACGGTACCTGATATGGAAGTCCCAAATCTCATTGTATCCGTTGCAGAATATAATGACAATAAAGGCTTTTTGACTTTTGACTTTTTGTCATCTGTCAATTAGTTTCTTGGATCTGGACCTCTGGCAGACGTTTAGATTCAGGTCAGGTAACTATATGGGTTAATGTTCTCATTCATATCAACACACATGCAACACATTTAAATATATATATATATATATATATATATATATATATATATATATATATATATATATATATATATATATATATATATATATATATATATATATATATATATATAAAGTCATAATGTAACTTCTTAAATTATGTAATTAATGTAATTTCATTAGCCTATTATTTATTTTAATATGTAAATTTCTTTGTGCAACTTATGTATGAAACGTGCTTTATAAGTGAAAACATGATTTATAATTAAAACTAAATTCACCATTGAACCAAACAGAACAAGCATAACACAATCAGAAAAGGATCAAATAAATATAAACATAAAGAAACTAAAAACATGAATCAGTGTCCCCCTCCTGTAACAATCCCCCTATTCAGGGAAATGTTACCTGCATGACGTCACTTTGCTTTGAAATGATTTGCATTCGAAATTGATAAACTTACGTTGCAGTGTACTGACTTTGCTAACGTAAGTAAGCTAACCATATTGTTTTAATGTAAATAGCATAACTAAGGTCAGGGAATTAATCACATCATTGGTTTTAATATAAAAATATACCAGAAGCAGTTCTCGGCAAGGCGTGTTGCCTGAGGCAGCTCACACTGAGCGTTGCTAGGAGCTGCCTGTTGCCTCTCCAAGCAAACTTTACGTCAAACCAGATCATATCTGGGTCAATCAACTTGCTTCAGATAAAAAAAATAAAATAAAAAAAGGATGATGAGCGTTTTTCATTTTTTCCATGCTCGACTTTATGCACAAAATAGGAAAACGGATAACAGATCAATCCGTGTATCATTCGTTCTTTCTATTTTCAATTGCCAATCAAAAAACAAAAAATAAAAAATTGACTGGTTATTTTGTTTTTTATGGTTAAACCAAAAACGAAAAAAGGATTGGTTTTTAATCCGTGTATCATTCGTTCTTTCTATTTTCAATTGTCAATCAAAAAACAAAAAATAAAAAATTGACTGGTTATTTTGTTTTTTATGGTTAAACCAAAAACGAAAAAAGGATTTGTTTTTCATATATCAATTCTAAGCTCAGATCAAGAATACGAAATGGAAAAACGCAGAATTTGATTTTAATATTTAATCGGTACAGTTTACGTGACCCGGAAATAGCTCTTTGCGAGGCAGTGGGGTGATGAAGTGGCTACCATGGCGATGCTAGAACGCTGTTTGTTGTTGCTAGTTAAAAGTACAGTGCACAGAAAAGTTTCAAGAAAAAAGTTATACCTGGAAAATCCTGCTGATTTTCTCCGTTGTCTTGTCCTCCTCCTTAAGAGTCACACGCTTGGATCCTCGACCGTAACTGTCCATGGCTGATAGGTCCGACTGCCTTATCTGGTGCAGCTTGATCGAACGTGGTGGGGGTAAGCATAGATATCCATAATAAAGCCTTTATTATGGATATCTATGGGGGTAAGCCAATTGTTTTTTTTAGCTAAAGCTCCACCAAACTTCCGGGTCATGTAAACTGTACCGATTAAATATTAAAATCAAATTCTGCGTTGCTGTCCGTTTTTCCATTTCGTATTCTAGATCTGAGCTTAGAATTGATATATGAAAAACAAATCCTTTTTTCGTTTTTGGTTTAACCATAAAAAACAAAAAACAAAATAACCAGTCAATTTTTTATTTTTTGATTGACAATTGAAAATAGAAAGAACGAATGATACACGGATTGTTTTTCATATTCCAATTCTAAGCTCAGATCAAGAATACGAAATGGAAAAACGGACAGCAACGCAGAATTTGATTTTAATATTTAATCGGTACAGTTTACGTGACCCGGAAGTTTGGTGGAGCGTTAGCTAAAAAAACAATTGGCTTACCCCCACCACGTTCGATCAAACTGCACCAGATAAGGCAGTCGGACCTATCAGCCATGGACAGTTATGTTTTATTTCGAGGATCCAAGCGTGTGACTCTTAAGGAGGAGGACATGACAACGGAGAAAATTTGCAGGATTTTCCAGGTATAACTTTTTTCTTGAAACTTTTCTGTGCACTGTACTTTTAACTAGCAACAACAAACAGCTTCTCGATCAACATAGTGTGTGGTTCTAGCGTCGCCATCGTAGCCACTTCATTACCCCAACTGCTACGCAAAGAGCTATTTCCGGGTCACGTAAACTGTACCGATTAAATATTAAAATCAAATTATGCGTTGCTAATCCGTGTATCATTCGTTCTTTCTATTTTCAATTGTCAATCAAAAAACAAAAAATAAAAAATTGACTGGTTATTTTGTTTTTTGTTTTTTATGGTTAAACCAAAAACGAAAAAAG